TCTTCTTGCATCTTCTTGTTATTTTCCTCCTTAATAGTATCTGACATTGCATATTGATTAACATTGTAAAATTAACCATGTACATCAGGAAAATGAATGCACTATTCATCCAGGACTGCTAAAGATCTTGCATTAAGTAGGTGGTCTCACCATAAAGAGGCAAGTAGATATTGTGATTGTGCAGTGTCTTTCTGTTATTATACTTCCAGTTACATTTTCCACCATTAAAACATATTTATTCCACTATTTTTGTGCAAACTTGACTTAGTACAATTTGGAAACTAAACTACATAACCTACAAAAGATTAATATGTGAAGTACATTACTGACATTATTAACAAGATTGAGTTTTGTAACAAGTTAAAAATTAATTAAATCCCTTCATCTTACATCTAAAGCTCATGACATGTCAGGTGAAACTGCCTAACTTTGCCTTGAAACTCATAATAAAAATTTAGTTTCAACAGTCATTCAATTAAATGCTGTGTCAAAATCATAAAATATTCTACGAAGATGAAGTTGATGTATTGGGGGACTTTAATTTGGAAAATCTATTTTCGAAAGACGATGGTCGATTGTAAGTGTCTTATTTATTGACTTTTTTTTAGGTTTAGCATGTATAAAAATGTTTTGAGGTACAATTGATGACTGTGAAAATTTGATGCGCAGTTTGTTGGCCATGTCAACTGCTGGAGTGACAAAGAAAAGTCATTATTAGAAAATGGATTGGTATGTTGTTAATTATTCTTGTTGCTATATAATTTACAGATGAGAGTGAATGTTGAAATAGTTTAGAATTCAGAATTTGGACGAGAAGATGGTGTGGTGTTAAGGACGTCTTCCTACTATTATTTCTGTAGCAAAAGTACTTATTGGTTTTTTTTTAATGTTGTCTCTGTTATTATGCCTATCCTCTTATTCTGTTCCAACTTGAACAAACTGACACAATTAAAAATTATGGTTTGCCTGCCCCGAGGTAGTATGTTCCATCCCAACATGTTTCCGTAAAATATGTTTCAATATTATCTTTCCATAACAAGTGTTTTTATAAGTATGTTATGTTTATGTAGAGATAGTAATCTTTTCATACCATTTGTATCATGTATCAGCATGTAGAGAAGCTAATGTCGATGGATAATGTCGATTTTTTACTAAGTGACATAAACTGAAGATATACACTCATTGCAGTAAGTGAATGCATGATTAATTTCATCTTCACAAAGAAGTACAGAATTTTGTAATTACAGTGAAGTTGTTATAAGGAGGTTTTCAGTTGTGTGGAATAATTTTTGTGGTCACACATAAAGTTCTACAAAGTATATTTTCTTTCATTATCATGTTTCTCCAATTTATTTTCTTTTAATTGGGCGAAGAGTTTGAAAGCAAAAGAAAACGAAGCTACTGGATAAATGAGGAATTAATAGAAGAAATAGAGAACAAAAGGAAACTATACGAGAAATGGCGAAACACTAATAAAAGAGAAGACAGAGATGAATATAAGATACAACAGAATAGGGTCCGGACGCAAATCAGAAAAGAGAAACAGAAAATTTGGGAACGGAAGTGCCAGGAAATAGAAATGTACATTGGGGGTAAAAGAACAACGGAAGTATGGAGGTTTATACGCAACCTAAAAGAACCATTTAGAGAAAAAATCAGAATACAAAATGTAGAACCAGAATATTGGGAAAAATATTTCAAAGGGCTGCTCTCGGAAGGAATAAAGTAATTCCTTGGGAATAGGACAGAACCTCAAAAGGAGGAAACAGGTTAGAAAACATCACCCTGGAACAAATAAAAAATTGAGGAGCGGAAAAGCCCCAGGACCTGGAAATATCCCCAGCAGACTAATAAAAAATGGTACATTGAAATTAATGAGAATGGTGAGAAAATTAATAGAAAGAAGCATAAATGAAGGGGACATGCCAGCTGAATGAACGAGGGCATATATAAGAAGGGAAGGAAATCGCTGTAACCAACACCTTCAGGAAAATCTCATAGAAGATGAATATGGAAGACAGGAAGTAGAGGAACAAAGTGGATTTAGGACAGGACGGTCAGGTATAGATAATTTACTTTGTCTATCACAGATTATGCAGAAAAAGTGGCAAATGGGGAGAGAGCTGCATATGATCTTCCTCAATATAACAAAAGCATAAGATAATGTACCAGTGAATAAATTATGGGAAGCCCTAGAGAAGAATAAGGTAGGAAAAACTTTAATAAAGGCAGGAGAACTTCTCTATGAAGATCAAGGACAGGTAAAACTAGGAAAGAGGTTGACAACAACATTTCAGACAAGAAAAGTCTGAGACACTCTTCAGAATATAAATGAAGTATTAAAAAGGTGGAAGGGAATGGACGAAGATACAAGAATGTACACACTACAAGTGATAACAGCACAAACAGAAGAAGACCTGGAATTTATGATAAGGAAAGTAAAAGAAGAACATGAAATCTGGGGATTAACATTAAATTTAGATAAGACAATGTAATGGAATTTAGGAAATACTAATGACGGACTGATAATGGAAACGGGAGAATTAATAAAGAGGACAGAAAAGATTAATTATCTAGGAGCGATGATAGGGGTCGAAGGGATGCATGGAATTGAAACAGAGGAGAGAATAAAACAAGGAAGGAGACTCATAGGAGCCCTCAAACTAATATTATGGGACAAGAACATCGCAAAGAGAACGAAAGAGAGAATATATAAAACGATGCTACAAAGCGTAGCTCTTTATGGAGCAGAAATTTGGCAACTTCGGAACAACAAAGAAAGAAGTTGAAAAGAAAGGAAATGGATTTCCTAAGAAGAGCGGATAATTGAGGATGTAGAGAAAAGGCAACTGATTTGGTACGGGCACGTGCAAAGGATGGAGGAGGAAAGGTTACCAAAGAAGACTGTGAAATGACAACCAAAAGAGGGAAGGAAGAGAGAAAGACCGAGACCAGGATGGAACGACGGAATTACAAGAACCATGACAGAGTGGAAACTACGTCCGGAAGGATGGGGAAATAGAGAATGGAACAAAATATTAGGAACCGGAAGACCGAAGTAACGGTCAAGAAACGGAAGAAGAAGAAGAATGTCCTTTGCAAACAAAATTACCGAAACAACTGCTGTTCATGAGAGCTGTCATAATGATGAAGAAAGCCATGGGGATATTTCGAACTCTGGGAACACGACGAGTAATTCTGGTAAACAAAGGAAAATAAGGACTGATGTTAAACATGAATTGGATATAAAAATGATGAAATTTTTGGACAACCAAATGCATCTTTCAAGGAACGAAGACCATGAGAATCGTCGTACGGCATTTTTCAGCAGTCTTGTACCTTCCTTGGCATCACTTGACGATGATGAAACTTTGCAATTTCAAACCGGAGTTTTAAGTTTGTTACGAAACATCAAAAGAAAGAAACATACACCATACAACAATCTCTCACTACAACAAACGAATTATTACGGATGGCAAAATCCAGGTTACTTCACTCCACCACAAACGAATGTCTCAGCAAAATCACCTGGCAACGCTGTCAACAGTAACTACCGGAAGTGAATGTGACTCTGTTTTGAAAATGGATTTATCTAGCTTTTGAATTTGTTTTGTGAAAATGTGAATTTTGCTAAGTCATTTTGATTGATAGAAATATAAATTAAAAAGACTCACCTTAGGCCTATGGCTAATTTTTCTTCAGGACTAATGTTTCTTCTCGTAGTTGTGTTTTGTTTTGTCAAATCACCTTCCACTTTTCTTAACAGGTAATCAAAAGTCTAACGGTGGTCTAGCGGTTAGAACGCAGGCCTTGTAATCCTGGGGTCTCGGGTTCGATTCCCGGCGGTGCCCGAATTTATAACTTTGTTGGGCAAGGCCGTGGTCTAGGCAACACGGAGTTTTCCTCCGGGGGCTTCCCCGGTTTCTCCGTGGCCTCCCAACAATTACTCCATTCACACACAGAAGAAGGCAATGGCAAACCACTTCTGGATCATCTGCCAAGAACGTATATGAACAGGTCCCAGTCCGAGAAAAGGATCGAAGGATCCTGTTCATATGGACCTATCGCCAGACAGAACACTAAATAAAATAAATCAAAAGTAGACATCGACATTCGAACGTGTGAACACTAGTAAAAATTTGCACCGTTTCGATGAAATTGCCGATACGGTAAAAATACTAAATTGTGTGAACGTTGCCTTATGCCATGAAGACGGTTTCGTAACTCGAAACATGTCGTCACAAGTGGATTTATTTAATACAAGACGCAAAGAGAATCTGCTGTGTGTTAATGGAGAGTAATATTTTGAATAAAATTAAACGTCTTTAAAATAATTAATTCCATTAGGACTTCTTGAGCAGGAAATAACGAGGCGAAATAATTTTTCCTTCTTTGCTGCAAACAATAATTCTCTTTATTTTTTTTTTGTAGTTCCTACATCAACTCCCACATTTCTACATTTCGTAAGGAAAGTAATTACAATTAATGTGTTCGTCGTGGTTGGAATCAACTGCAAACTATTTATATCTCCAATTTAGCATTTTTTACGTTTTTCCTTCATTAATTTGACTCTGTGTTTGTAGGCGTAATCGCTTGCATTCGGTAGGTTCTTGCTGACACAAGTCGACATCAGGAATCTCCTAACATTCATGTTTGCCGCCTTGTCCCTGCAATTTGAAATATTAAAAGTGAAAACAAACCCATTTTCATTATCCATCAGTATTATCTACACTCAAGACAATTTTTATCACATTTCGCAGACACAGTTACAGAAAATATGTAGCTCTACATGCGATGATGTATCTCATGAAGGACTACGTCTTCTGACATAAATAATTTATTTAATATAAATTTAATAGAAATGTAATTTGAATGTCGGTGCATTTATGTAAAGAAATTAAGAATTTTCTTAAAACTATCTTTTTCAGTCGTTAAATGTGTTGACCTATAAATATCATGTCTGATGGGTTGGCTCTGTCTTTGAGTTGAATGGAAAACTGCTTGAAGCTAAGGGAACAGCTTCCACCGAAATGTCGTTGCTTGTATTTTGTTTCCTGACAACCTTAACAAAATTCCCCCAATCGGAATTCGATATACGATTCCCTCACCATATTTCAGAACAGTTCCCACGTGATCTTTCTTTCACTCATGCGCACAGAACACCGGCCAACGTGTTATTATGACGTAATACATTTCATTACATCAGAGTGGAGGGAGAGGTTATGGCCATTTTAAAACGCTGTCAAATGACATGTGTTCTGCGCTAGCTAAGTATCTTACACTTCATTAAGCTATTACCTTCGGTCAGATTAATAAATTTAATCACACACTTTCTTTGGAGAGTTAAGCGTGTCTTGTTAGAGACATGCGCCCATGACAATATTTCCCTCTTTTAGCAATATATTTTCAAAAAAAATTTGTCCCACCAAAAATATTTCTAGAGAGGTTCTGCTGGACGTAAAACAGACTCAGACAAAAATCAAATGAATTTCTTTGGGATTTCTGGCTCTTGCACAAACAAGTGTGAAGAAATTTGTCTTCTGGGAAGTTTTTGGAGCTGCTTACCAACTCCGTCAACAGATGGCAGGTAACTGCATGGTCAAACACGCCAAGAGACAACCATTTTGAAATAAACTTCGATCAAAAATGGGAACATGAGACTAGCCTAACACTTTGATGAAAGCGGAAGATTATGGCGATGCTGATGTGCTGAACGCCAGAAACTTCCTGCCCAAGAGATTACCTCTGATCAAAGAAACTTAGTCAAAGAGCTTCTTATTAACGTAGTTACAGTTGACGTCTGATTAGCATTTCCTAGTCATTCGCCCTCTGCTTTAACGATTCAGCTCGGCTTCGCCCTGCCTGCTTTCATTCTACCCTCTTCCTCTCAGACATTTTTCGCTCGTAGTATTCAAAGCCCTGAGTAAGCAGTAAGAACGTCTGAAACGTCGGTTGTTTCAACGTCACTACACATCGCAGCAGTAACAGTTTGTGATTGTACAGCCCTGAACAATCAAACCAAGAAACAAACAAACAAACCATTTATCTTCCTTGTCATTGTAACGTTTGACACTACAGCCGGTTTCCCCAATGCCAATTCCACCGATGACAAAGATCGTGTCGTCGATCACTTCTGCGTTTAAGTAATTTGAATAGAAGTTCATGTAGGGGACCTCGGTCCACGTGTCTTCTGCAGGGTCGTACTTTTCGGTACTGAGCTCCCATGATGTCCTGTTGCGTCCTCCTGCACACACACAAATTCCGTAATAGGTCAGAGCATATAAAGAAAGCTGCCAAAGGGAACTTATTCTAACCACATTCAGCGGGAACCTTCTTCATATGTATTAGTCCGTGACATGGCCACGAAATATTTGAACTTTATAGAGCCACAAGTTTCATTACCTTATTCAAAAAAGCCGGTAGTTGACCTCTTCTCACATACTCTAGATCCTTAAAAATATTTTAATATTCTCCTTCCTTTTAAGGCTATAAATTAAAAGTGGTATCTTATCTTCAACATTACCAATTATAACTCCCTAGATGTTTGTGTTTCTCGTAACTTCAATGCTTCACACTCCGCCCGTCTTACCCAACTGACTTTACGCTCTTAAAATTTGTAATTCCATAAACGGAACGAATGAAACAAATACAACGAAGAAATTTCATTCCCTCTTGCAGTGTTAATATTAGTAGCAGGAACGAAGTTAAGGATGAAATAGCTTTATTATTATTATTTATTGTTCTGTCTGACGACAGGTCCATATGAACAGGATCCTTCGATCCTTTTCTCGGACTGGGACCTGTTCATATACGTTCTTGGCAGATGATCCAGAAGTGG